TGTGAGTGAGGGTGACAACGTAAGATCCGATTTGCACGCAATACATAAATAAGACGACATTATTGCCATTCGCCAAGGACATTTTAACAAGTATCGTTCCTCCTGCTTTGTCCATACGATTCTTGTAATTCCTCCGTCCTTGAAAGGCAAAGACCCTTCCTGTATAGAACCAGTGTCCCCACTCGGTGCTATTTCTAGGCCGGCGATTGTATTTTGAAATATAAAAAAAAAGTAAACATGCATAATGCAGCACGAAATGGCAAGCGTTGGGTGCAAGGATTTCGAGTTTGTACTTATATGCCCATATTTGGGTTTACAATCAGCTGTCGTACAATAAGAAGACTAGGAAAGGTAAGGATGGAGGTAATTGATTGTTTTTTTATTGTTAAATATGAAAAATATACGTGGAATAAATTAAGAGAAACTTGGAAAGACGAAATAAAAGTATAGATTACAAATGTGATCCCTGTACGCTTTTCTTATCACACGGTCACAGTACTAACACTAATGGACACATGCTATGAAAAGCTAGCCAATGCTGGCATTCAGTGTAAGGCCTTAAGGGGCAAGGAGGTCAAGCTATACGATTAGGATGGATCGAGAGGCTGGTATGAAACTTTTGGAATCGGGAATGGATCAGTTCATTGACATAAGGATTGTTGAGGTCGTGTGGATAGTAGTAAGTGGATAGTTGATAGTAGTAGGTGACGTAGTAAGGAGCTTTGCCGGTCCCAATGGCCTTTCCTCCTCCTTTCTCCCTCTAAAATCTGGGGAGCCCCAAGGATCTAGCAACTCTCCTATCCTTTTTTCCATTTATATCAATTATCTGCCCGACTCCATCCAGTCCTGTAACTATCACCTATATGCCGATGACTCCCAAATATACATATCCTTCCACCCTTCCGATCTTCTTCACTCGGCCATTCTCAAGACCCAAAAAGACCTAAACTACATCAACGAATGGGACCATAAAAATTCCCTAGTACTCAATCCGTCCAAATCCACCGCCATAATTATCGGGTCCAGGCAACTCCTCAATTCCCTCCCCAGCATCCCATCTCTCATGCTAAATAACCATCCCATCCCCTTCTGCTCTTCGGTCAAAAACCTAGGAGTAGTCTTTGACCAAAACCTTTCCTGGCATTCTTATATTTCCCGCCATTCCATGTCCTGCCTCAGCCTGTTTCGTCGGTCCTGGCTTCTCTTACCTTTCTCCACCCGCAAACTCCTTGTATCTTCCCTTATATTTCCCTTCTTCGATTATAGCTGTTTGGCATACGGTGGTCTCTCGGAAGGGGAGAACGCGCAATTGAAGCTTATTAGGAATTGTTGCTAAGATTTGTGTACGGCACCCCACGGGGATCCCGGGTGTCGGGGTTGTATTCCCCACTTTCCTGGCTATTCCCCTCTTTCCGTGCACAGTATTTCCTAGGTTCTTTCTTTTCCAGTCCATCCACACTCGTCGTCCTCCTTACATCATCCAATCCCTCCAATTCAACTCCTCACATCTCACACGTAAGACCCGCTCATCCCCAATCGACCTTAGCCTTCCGCAACAAACAACCCAAACCATCGAAAGATCCTTTCTGATCCGAACCCCTAATCTCTAGAACTCCCTTCCCCTTTCTATTCGTCATGTTGCCTCCTTTTATTCCTTTAAATCCCACCTGTATAATCACCTCCTCTCCCTCCAAGCAGAGATCTCACGTTAGCATTTGTTATTTTTGTTTAATATTCTCGTAATTTTCTCTTCTGGCCTGCCTTACTGGTATACATTGTGCCAATATTTCTATCTTTTTTTTTTATTTTACTTTTAACTTCATAGAAGGAACTTCCTTTATTTATTTCATGTAAATTATTCTTAGGGGACACCAGTCCCAGAATAAAGTTATTTTTCTTCTTAAGTAGGTGACGTAGTAAGGAGCTTTGCCGGTTTGTCTGAATACTTTTAATTGGATGAATTGGATGCGCTGGATGTTGGATGGCTTCGCAGAACCTCACAGTTCTACAATCTACGTCCAAAGTGGTCGCAGTAAAGTCTTGTATAACGTTAGTTGCGTTTTGACGGTCAAGATGAATTTTGAGTGTTCGGAGTCTTCGAAGTTGTCCAAGTCTTCTGTTAGGCTGTTGCCTTTTAAGTCGTATGTGGGGATTTCACGTCTGTCTAGGTATAGTCCTAGGTATTTGACTTGAGTGGAATTCGGTATCTATTTGTCGTTGAGGTAGAGTGGAGGGTAAGACTGCTATTTCAATGTGAAAGTGCACTGTGTACATTTTTCTTCATTCAATCTTGTCCTCCACTTTTTTCGTTAGTCTTCGATAAGCTCAAAGTGTTCTTGGATGTTGGATCGCTTGGCTAAGATTCGAGTTAGAGGACAGAATTGCAGTATCGTCTGCAAAGGTTGTAGAAATAGTATTGGAGTGTGCAGGTGAGTCAGCAGTATAGATGATATAAAGGATGGGGCCAAGAATGCTCCCTTGTGGGACCCCGTCTTTCCGAGAACTTGTTGCCGCACCTCACTCTGAAGCAGCGGTCTGTTAAGCAGGAGTTCAGGAAAAGACTGAAAAGACGGAAAAGGAATAGGAAGGAAGCGTTTAAGTTTATAAAGCATGCCCCTAGGAACGTACCCAAGCAATACCCTGTTCTCGATTGCAGACGTGATAGTGTCGACTACTCTGAGACCTTATTGGACCGTAGAATTATGTGGACGGAAGTCGAATTGGTGAGAGGGAATTATTTTATGAGTATCTAGGATAGAGATTAATTACTTGACAAGGAGTGTTTCGAGGATTTTGGACAGTGCAGGAAGAAGTCTAATCAATCTCTACACACATAGAAATTGTTAAATTGTTAAATTAAATTGTTCTTTAATAAAATAAAATAACGATAATAATAAGGTTAGAAAGATTCAAAGGACTACATCTTTAAAAGGAGGTCCTCGCGGGTGCCTCAAGGACAACCACTTTTATGCGGGTCAAAGTAAGCCATTATAATAAAAATTAGGGAAAGAAAAAAACGAAAATTAAAGCGGAAGTGGTTCATCCCCGAGGTTCTCAACACTCATTCATTCTTAAATACATTTTTTTCTATTTACATACCGTCCACTCAGGATAATGGAGTACTCGATATTCCTCCATCGCCCTATTTGACTAATCTAATTGAGGGGGTGATTGTATCGCCCACAAGAAAAGTGATATAAGAAGAAAAATTCTAAAGACCTGATTATTATTATTTTTTAAGTATTCGGGTGTGTGATGCAACAGGAAAAATGACACAACTGTAGGTTGACTCTTAGCAGCTAGGCATTATGAAATTCGTTCACATTATGAAAAACAATTATTAAATCAACTGTACAAACATGTTTTTCATAATGTATAATTAATATAGACCCTGATGATGACCTTAAAATAGGTGGAAAGCTTGGCAGTAAAAACTGAATTTCCATACCTTGGTCCAGAGAACATTCTTACATTATTTATAGTTTCAACGATTTTTTGAATGTTTTAATTAAACTAGGTTTAATAATCAATAAATCATTTTGAATTTTAAATAATTAATTAGCCTTGACTCCATGAGGTAAGCAGTTTGGGTCAAAAATAATTTTAGTAAAACTTACTACAGGGATATTTATGCTTGTTTGTTAGGTTTGTTTGTTGCCTGTTACTATCACAAATAAATTAATACTCTAAGGCGCAATGCCCACTGGAGCGATGAGATAGTGATGCAACTGAGACGCGATCTTTTATCGCCCGATACGACTTTTATCGGCGCCACACTCTCGTGCCCACTGGAGCGAAGTGACAAACGATACGATACATACCATAGTACCTTTTTACATTACACTGTTGATGATGTGGTATCACTGGCAGACTTTCCTTTCGTGTTACAAAAAATGATAGAAAATTTAGAAATGTATTGTGATTACTGAAAACTTAACGTTAATACCGCTAAATCGAAAATTATTATTATGAGTTATTCAGATATCGTGAGATGCGGTCGGGTGTGACGTAGGTTTCAGAAAAACATTTTCTTTATCGTGCCAACGTTTCGATCTTTTATTGAGCCCTGAAGATGATCTCAATAAAAGATCGAAACGTTGGCACGATAAAAAAAAGTTTTTCTAAAACCTACATCACACCAGACCGCATCTCACCATAACTGAATAATTATTGTTATTAGAAACAATAAACGTAATTTACGACCAAACGAAGATGGATATTTAAAAATAGAATTTTAAAAATAGTTGAAACGTAAATTTTTGGGGGTCTCATTGACCTTTTGTCTGTCAAAGCTAATGTTCCCCAAAACGGTTTCCAACCTTCCCCAATATGGGCCGGCCACTACAGGCCATCCGCCTCTACACAGTGACCCAACTGTGTTGTACTTACGTACCGAAGAAAGTATTTCATGATTCTCTTGAGTCTGGTAACATGCTCGCTGATGAGTCAACCGTAGACCAACATCCACAATCGAAATGGGAGACCAGGGGTGTGCTGATTGACAGATCGAGTATGTAAGGAGATCAACTAGTTGTTAATGCAAAGCGAAGGAATAAGGAAAAAGGTATGAGACGCCTGGGACTTATTAATGTTTAACGATCCTCTAAGATGTGAAGGCCATTCGGTGAAAAGGAAATCCATAGGGGCTGTTAGACCACATTCCTAATCCCTAAAACAGCCACAGTGTGCAATATATTATAAAACAGCCATTTTTACAATTGAATTGCATCAATTATTTATTTTCAATTCCAATATTTTCACCTACACATGTTTAGCCTAATTTTGGCATTTAAAACAAAAAACTTTTTGAACTTTTTCTTAAATGAAATCTAATTAAACACTTTTATTTTATCTAAAGCTGCGTAATGAGTCATGAATTATAAATCATGATCATTGATGATGTTTTGTTTTCTCTTTGCTTTTTAAACCAACTGACTTTAGTTGGGCAATTTGTATTTGGCGGGAAAGCATGTACTGAAATTTGGCGGGAAATTACAGTCCAAAGAGAAGGTTCTACGACTGTTATCCGTCGTGTTGCAGTGATAAGTTCGCCTAGTGCCTTGAATCGGTTTATCGTAGTAAGTAAATGTTTTTTTACGTTTTAATTGCATAATTTATATGTAACTAGTCGAGAGACCATTTATTAAATCCTACTCAGTCATTTTTTCTGCAACAACATAATGCAATTAATCATATAACAATTATTATTGTGAAACATTAGAATCGGTCATTACTACAGCGAGACCAAACGGACCAATTTGTCATTTACTGTAACTTTCCGGACAACTATTACCATTATTTGAATTTGTGCTAAGTAAGAGGAAAAATAGTTTCATAAAAACTTTTTATTCATGTATGATACTTTTTTAGTAACATAGTGGTTGATTAAAAAATGTCATAATTAAGAAATTCAAATGTGATAATATAAGTTAAAAAAAGAGTGATTAATATCATTTTTTTGTGTTACAGAAACATAAACAAATCTTATGAATTATTAGTTTTATTTTTTAATGCATATTATACTAAGCCATATACATTTTTCATTTTTTAGTTAATTATAGCTTTAACATTAAGAAAAAGGATTCTTCTCTTCCTACCCCTTCTTCTCTTTTTTTACTTCTTTTCCTTTTTTATATTATTATTATTATTTTAAATGCATAGCTTATTAAGCCATATACATTTTTTCAATTGTTACTTAATTATAGCTTTAACATTAAGAAAAAAGGATTCTTCTCTTCCTACCCCATCTTCTCCGTTTTCTTTTTTCCTTTTTTTATATTATTATTATTTGTTTAAATGCATAGCATATTAAGCCATATACATTTTTTTAATTAAAGAAATTAGATCCTGCGATATAAGGACCATCCGTAGTAACAACGCTCGGGCAAAATCCAATTCCGACATTGCTAAATTGTTTTCAGAGCGCCTTTCCACAATTTTTACTGCACACCATGACATACTTGATCATGACCGTCAGCTTAACATTGAACACGACTTGAATGTCCCCTTGCAACTCTCTTATCTTCCTAAAGCATTTACTCCATGAAACATACAACACACTATTAAACAACTACATTCATGAAAAGCTCCAGGTTATGATCTAATTACAAAACAAATGTTAGAAAATTTGCCCCACAGAGGCTTACTATATTTAACATACCTATACAACATACTAAGGACCACATATTTTCCATTGCAATGGAAGTTCTCTATAATTAAAATGATTCATAAGCCAAATAAACCTTCTGATCTTCCAAATTCCTATCGACCCATTAGTCTCCTTTCTATCCTTGCCAAAATACTAGAAAAACTACTTCTCCGACGTTTGCTGCCAATAATTGAAAATTCTAATATTATTCCAGATCATCAGTTTGGGTTCCGCACATTTCACTCGACAACTCAACAATTACAATCGAACAAAAACAGCATTGCTTGGGTGTCTTTCTTGATTTAGAACATGCCTTCGATCGAGTCTGGCACTTGGGCTTGCTTTGGAAACTGAGGAACATCCTCCCTCATACGTACTATCTTATACTGCGATCTTATCTGACGGATAAATTTTGTCGAGTCCGTCAGGGAACTGAATTCTCACCTTATATACGAATTAGGGCGGGTGTTCCTCAGGGAAGCATACTTGGCCCTTTTCTATTTTCCATATACACTGCAGATATTCCTACACATGTTAACATTTTGACACACACATTCACTGATGATACAGCGATTCTTACACACAATTCGGACCCCTCAACTCTTACAATACCTGAATGTACAACAATATGGTTCACAAAGTGGAGAATATAGGTAAACCTAACAAAAAGCACACAGATCAATTTTACCTTACGTAAAAATGTCTGTCCTGCGGTGAGTATAAATGGAATTCCATTGCCTACCTTGTGCATTATCTTGGACTTTTCATGGATAAACGACTGACTTGGAATCCCCATACAAGACTGAAAAGACAGCAAACAAACCGACGTTATAAATTGTTAAAAAGACTATAGACCTCTCTGGGTGTACGGTTGTGAAGTGTGTGGCTCAACCAAGTATTCCAATTCCCAGTGTCTCCAATCCATCCAATCTAAAATTCTCCGTCAAATTATAAATGCTCCTTTTTACATTTCAAATTATCCATAAAGACCTACACATCCAGTTTGTACATGAACTCATCAAAACTCAATATAAAAAATTCATCAATCACTGCACACACACACAGTAATCTATTCGTACGAAATTTATCATTTCCAATCCTACCTGAAAATCCTCCAAGACGATTGGAGCGAAAGTGGCCCCGAGACCTTCTCATTGTGTGAAGACTGAACAAGATATCAGTGTGAAAGAGTGTTACTGGGCAACTTCTCCTACAAGAGCCTCAAATGATAATTCAACATATATGAACATATTTACTTAATACATCACTTAATACTTCAGAGTTACCACTATCCCTACAAATATGCATCTCTTTGTTTTTAAGTAATAAGTTGTAGATTTTTTGGTGCTAGTAGAGGATAGTTTTAAATTAATCCTGTTTTTATCTTGGAAGACAGTATTTACATTTTATCCATTCTAATTTGCAATAAATTTTGTTTTAACTAAGAAAATTAAAGAAAAGGATTTTTTGATGATTCTATTATAGACATTAGGATATCAATGATATGTTATTGAAGCCTAGGTCTCGCAAGAAACTAATCAGCGTGGTACGCCTTGGTGGATGGCTGCGGATGTTCTTGCATGAACGGAGCGGCTAATGATTTTATCTTATACCTCATCTAGGGGCAATTTATACGTTTATGGTCAGGCTCCATCCAGTTAGGTGCCAGGTGACCTCAACATTTGGCACGAGCAATGGTTTATAATCAATTGTATAAGTCAGCTGAGCATGTTGTGTTTGGCTACCCATGAAGGTCAATGTCTGCGGCATGTTAGAATAGACTTGGAAGTGGCGAACCCGTCATGTAAATTCTAAGCCTGTCTAGAAAGAGTCGAACCGGATGGGAGTGCTGGCAATTCTGTCCTGTATCGCTTCTACCCTTTGAACACTGAAAGTCCATATGGACTCTACTAAGTTTTGTTATGCATGTAATGAGAATAAAGGACTATTAATTTCCTTAATTCCTGCCTGCTGAGAGAGAGGTAAATTTATGTTCCCTGGTTGAAATATGAAACTTCTTTTGAGCATAAATTTTATTTAACCTTAAGTTAGTGTCAGTTTATTTTTATTGTGCCAATGATCAATATTTGCAAAATAATATTATGTTATGGAAAAATGAATAGTCAAGTGAAATATTTTTAATGAGAAACAACCTACAAACCGCAAGAAACTATTTTCATGAATACAAATGATCACTTTGACACAATAATGTGGAGTAAAATAGGTTCATTAATGGTTAAACAATAATTTCACAGTAAATTAGTATGTCAAGGAGGAGAGGTGTCAGTGCTGATGAGAAAAAGGCAAGGTTGTTGAATTTGTTCCACGAGAAGAAGGAATTTTTCCAACTTAAGGTATATTATCTTTTCCACTGTTACCGCCTTATTTTAATGTGACAACCGTATACAATTACAGGAATTGGAAACGATTGCATCGAAGGAGAAAGGTATTGTCGCCCAGACTGTTAAAGATGTCCTGCAGAGTCTTGTCGACGACAACTTAGTGGAAACGGACAAAATTGGAACGTCGACATACTACTGGTCCTTCCCAAGGTACAATTTGAAAATACTTTTCTTTTTTTTTTTATTATATTTTATTAACTTTTGTTTAAAGCCATTCTATTAAGATGAAAAAAATGGAGATTGCACGACTTGAAAAGGAAATTGAAAATACCAGGAAAGCTCTGTTTGAAACCAAAGATAAAATTATTGAAGCTAAGGTAAAATTGATAAAATAATGTTAATTTCAATTTTAATTCAAATTGTTTAAATTGTTTTTCTTTTAAATTCAGGTTGGAAGAGAAGACATGTCTAAAAGAACCCACGTGATCGAAGAGAACAAAGTAATCACAGCCGAGAATGAATATTTGCTGAAAGAACTTCAAAAATATAAACAAAATGATTCTGCCGATCTTGAAAAAATGCTGAACGATACTGAGGTATTTTGTTAGTTTATTTTCCCGTTCTGATTGATTTTGACTAAACATTTTTCAGGTTGCAAAAGAAGCGGCAAATAGGTGGACGGATAACATATCATCATTGAAATCCTGGTGCAAAAATAAGTTCTTCATCGAGGAAGATGTAATAAACAAACAATTCGGGATACCAGAAGATTTAGATTACATTGAATAAACTTTTTGGAACCAGTATAATATTCAGCTGTAATTTTCAATGTAAATATTTAAAAAAAATGTATGGAGTTTACCATGCCATACTTATTTCATATTGACTAAATGATTGAATTAAAGAAGGGGTTTTTTTAGTGTGCCACAATTTTCAATTGATTCTATAGACATAGGTTCGTTCAAGCAGCTGTTCGGAATTTTCCCCTACATGTGCGACAAAGTGTGGAACTGGTGTTCCAACAGTGCTTGTTTAGAACATGAAATATCTGCACTGCCCTCTGGCCAGTGTAAAGTTCGTTTGTAAATATGCATTTTATCCAGATTTAGTCTTATTACAACCCATATTTGTTTAGAGGTCATAATCAACCATATTAATTATTACAATTAACTATTATTTTTATCTAAGGATCTAAGGTTTTTGGTTGAGATGAAAAAGTTAGTGTGACGAGCAGGATTAGAACCCAAGACATTTGGCTCAATGCGCTGCTGCTCTAACCACTTAAGCTATCGTGAGTGTATATGGTTAATTATATTATGCTATTACATAAAAAATTACTACATAGTATTTAAAAAAACGATCTCTCGACTATAGTTACATATGAATTATGCAATTAAAACATTTTTCTTTGTATTCAAATTGAGTATTATCAAAGTTTTTATGTTATCTTTTTAAGACATGATAGATTGATGCAGTTAAAAATGTCAAAGGAACTGGGAAGTGAGTTTGTGTTGATCATTATTTTCAGTAGGTTGGAATGTTTGAGGTAGATGGCGGGTACGATAAGTTAGGAAAATTGAGATGCCTGATGTTGCATCTGGGAATATGAAAGTTAAGTAAGGGAAGCAGATCAGAGCACTATTGAGTTGAGGAGTAGTTCATACATTAATATAATGTCACTATTAAATCGTCTAGAAGAGTATGAAGTACTGTCATTGGGCGAAGTAGTTTAGCCGGTTTATAACCAAACTGTAGTAATTATTTTTGAACTGACTCAAGAGAAGTAAGTACTATGGTACGCTCCATATAATATTATGTTATTCCAGTATTGAACTCTTATACAAAACTGTTAGGTCTCCTAATCCACCCTATTTTAGGAGATGTCCCACAGGGCAGCACCCTCGTTCCTCTGCTATACTCAATTTATACCTCTGACCTAGGTTGGAGGTATGCAAGCACAACCTACGTCAGAGCTTCTCGTAATCTCCAAAATTACTTACATATCCTCAAATCCTTACTCCGACAGTGGAGAATGAAGATCAATGAAACCAAATCGACAACCTTTATATTCACACTAAAGCTCCCATCAGGATTGTATGTGTTGGTTGCTGAATTGACCTGAGTTGACAGCATCTGGAGTCCAACCCCATGGTCTGCCCCCTGGACTGCCAACACCCGGGGCGATTCTTTAGGCTGGTCAGCTCCCACCAGTTTACTTCAACATGTTCACATCTGTGTTGCGATACATGCCCGATACCTCAGACAAAAGACTAATGGGAACCCCTATACACGACTTAAATGCAGGCATGTAGTTATTACAATATGTTAACATATGGTTTTATGCCAGGCTACTCAGCCAGGTAATCTAAATATTACTGACAAAAGAAAATTTTACATTGCCATCCTGACTCCCATTTCGACAAACCGACATGAACTTTATGGAACTTCAAAGCATTCCAAACTTAATCGAACCGAATCCTTTCAATCTGAAATTCTCAGAACAATAATCAATGCCTCCTTCTATGTTTCCAATCACACCATCCATACTAATTTAAATGTTCCTCTTGTTACTCGTGTAGCTCAATCCCGCTATAAAAAGTTCCATTCCAAACAATCCTAATCATCTGAACCCTTTCGTCAAAAACCCGTCATCCACCACGTTACCTAATAATCCTCACAAGAGACTGAAACGTCAGTGGCCCCGCGACAACCTCACTACTTGACACCAGTCTCAGGATTGAGTCCAGCTCACTCATTATATTGATGTAATAACGACTTCCGTCACTGGAAAAAATAGTTCTAATTCACAAGTTCATACTTTTTTGATTACTATTAATGTTTTTAGTTCAGCTTAATGTCAATAATTTTATTTCCGGCATGTCGTCCGATAAATCGCAGTCTTTTTCGTTCTGAAATGAGCCTGTTGAATAATCCGTGCCGTGGGATTGTTGAATTTGACGTTCCAGATTATTCCAGATTATATTCATCACGAGACAAAACGGACCGTAGAAGATTCGGCCTAAAAAGTAGGTAATCTTACGTTTACCAAGGCAAAGACATGATAAAAGACAACACCTTCCGCTCTTTTAGGATCTTAAGCAGACATTCCCCGGTTTTACACCATGGTGCCTTTTTCCAAATTCAGGAAGATCTTGAATCGTGTTTTTTCATTATGGGAATCATGATTTTATTTGAAAACTTATTTAACCCTTTAAAGTTTCACTACGTTATTATAATTCGTCACCTCAGAAATAAATTAATTACATAAACTAACACAAGAAAACACCCTTTCCATCGGACCCTTTTTACCCAGTAGCCGACCAACTTTGCCGGATTTCCGCGGCAATTAACCCTTACAACATACTCCCTCGGCTCTTCGGCTTTCTTATCCCACCCTAGACTCCAAACTCCCTTTTCATCGAGGATAGAGAATAATAACAGGATCGATATAATAGTATATAAAAGTTATTTTTCATTATTTCTGCTAGGCCTTTAAGCCGTAGCAGCACGTAAGAAATACAGGCGCGTCTTGTGTTATTTATTCGTTTCCCGGTAAGAAACGGCCCAAGTAAAAATATGATGCAAATATTTTCTTTTTTCTGTCCAAAAAAAAACAACATTATTTCACAACAATACCAGGCCTGTTAAATGTTGCCGGCCCCTTTTTAACATTTAGCCCAGTTTGACATAAAAAAACTTTCAATATAAATACATTAATATTAGGATGATACAAAAAAATTGAATAAAAAGGCAAAGTATTAGTGTAAGTCACAATAACAGATCCTGAATAAGAAATCCTGAACATTAAGATGTTAGAAGTGTCGTAAAAGGGAGAATATTGGGATGAGAGATAACAATTGAACAAAATTGGATATTGGGATAACGTATAATAATGGAACAAAACATAGGATACGACGCAAGAATAGAACAACAGAGAATATATGGGATAAGCCACAAATGGAAAAAGAGAGAATATGGGGAGAGAATAAGAGACAATGATTGGAGAAGTCAGAATATTGGGATAGGGGACAATGATCGAAGAAGACAATATTAGGATAAGACGGAAGTACGGAACAGGACAGAGTGTTGGAATACAACACAAGAATCGAACAAGACAGAAATTGGGATAAGACTGGAACTGGGCAGAATATTTGGATAAGGCACAACAATTTAGGTAGTTAGGATATTAAGGTAAGACGCAAGAATGGAACAGGACAAAATGTTGTGTTAAGACACAATGTTAGGATAAGACAGAAGAATGGAAGTCCAAAGTTTGGGATAAGACAGAAGAATGGAACAAGACAAAAGTTTGGGATAAGACAGAAGAATGGTACAAGACAAAAGTTTGGGATAAGACAGAAGAATGGAACAACACGGAAGGCGGGATACAGGACTGGTTAAAACATCAGGATATCGTTATGATAGATTTTTTCTTTTTTTCATAAACCTTTTCTCAGGAAAGCCCTTGTCATGTCAAGACATAATGAACGCTGCATGCTGCCCATTTTTGCCAGAGGATATATGAGAAGATAAAAATTACATGTTTTTAAGAATAAAGGAAAAAATCCAGTGACCTTTATTTACTGTCTTTCTTGTCAAAAATAAATTAAAATAACTGTTGCAGTATTTTTCAAAACCAATTTTCAAAGTGGAGATATCTAGAGACGTTCTAAATTCTCTGATTACCTGATTTTAATCAAAATTCAACCCTTGCTAAAAAAAAGGTAATAATCTAACAACAGTTTCTACTCAGCCAAAACCAATTTAATTTTATTTCAGAATTGTATTATAAAGTCCTTTGCTGAAAATGAACAAGTATGATTTTTCGTATTTCGTCCATTCTGGAGTTTTTCAAGGTTCATTAGTATTATATATAATAAAATAATTCATTTCGTTCGATATTAATTATTCACTTTTAGTCATTAATGGAATATTCAATTTGAAAATATGTAAATTAGATAATTTTATCAATCAAATTGTACCAATGTATATGGCTATAACTTATTTATGTTTAACATTGAAAGAAGTGACTATATAAAATATTCTGGTATTCATTGTTACATAAGATCATTATAATTTGTTTGTTCTGTCTGAAAACCAATGAAGTCCACCCTTTTTCGCGGTTTAGTCCGATTGCAATGTAATATATAATTTTTGACATATACATAAATAAAGATAGAATAATAGCAAAAATCACAAAAATTGAATGAAAAGGCAGAGCGAACACAATAACTGACTGAAACCTGGAAATTGTAGGAATAATGTTATATCAAAGAACAAATTCTTTGCTTTTCAATTGCTAAAATTTTCAGAAAAAGTTTTGTATGTTCATGTTTATGTTCTTTGTTGGAAATCAGGGAAATTGAATTTTATCCTGATCTTTTATTCTTTCTTTTTTATGAACAATTCTGTTATTAGCAAATAACTTAACTTTAGCTATCCCAATTTAGATTTCAGATAGCTTAATATTATATTTTAGGTTAATTATGTGATAATTTCTATATTTAAACGGGTAATCCAAATCAGTCGGATTAATTGCAATTTGTCAATGGGCAAACAACAAACATCAATCGCGACGTTGGCAATCAGTCGTACTTCGCTTATAAATTTAATACACAGCTAATTACAACTTGATCAATATTTCGACTATTTCCCTACAGTTCAGATTACACAGATACAGGTTCATACACAGATTTTCTAGGTCTGCACTTAACCATATCCAAAGCTAGACTGGAGATGCTAAGCCCCCTCCAAAGAGTATCTCCCAGGCTCCGGAGAAAGTATGCCGGTCAAACGTCTATAAGAGGGACCTCAAGTACCCCGACCTTGCACTTGAATCCAAGCAGCCATGAACGCCGTAAGTAACCTTTTTTTTTATATTATCGACGAATTATAATTTTTTGAACATTAGCCCTTATAAGTGTAACCCAGCATTAACATTCTTTAGGAAAACAAGCCTTTCGTTGGATTTTTTCTTTTAAACGTTTTCGTTTAAGTTTAAGGACAAGGTGTTATATTAAAAGTTTATTTTTATTGCAGTTCTAAATATGTAAGGGTATGCTTTGACATTTTTAATTTTTATCACTTATTTGCAAAAAGATCAGTGGATAATTTATATAATTCTTGAAAAGGAGTTGATTTTTTACCTCCCAATAAAGAAACGCTTATCTATTTTTGTTAGTATTTATTCCTGCTTTTTAGCCTTAGTTGTATATTGAATTTATATCTATAGTAAGGTCTGGTTCTTTATACAAACATTCAACTTTCTCCTAGTATTGACTTCATGCCTTTTTTGGAGACATTTTCCATTTTTCTTTTCTTTTTTTCCGATCTAGGCCCGAATTTGGCTTTAGGTGGTTCAATGCCGAGTGCAATGACTTTTTGCCGGGTCACCAAAGCATTTTTAAGCCTTTGCCTTGTCATTGAGGAGGCCAGGATTAATTTTCCATATACGGATGGGTCAAGTTGAGAAAACATAAATTGACGGACACTTTCTCGGGGTTCAACATTACACTTTGGGTATCATTGTTGATAAAACAAAATCCACAGTAACCTAAGAAAAAACGGATTATCTTGATGCATGTTGTTTGATTAATTTTTCCCCAATTCTCCTGTAATCTATGTCGACCGTCTTTTCACCACTTAAGATATTTCACAATTAGCTTGTTTTTGACTATTTTATTTAAAAAGCTTTTAAAAGCTACAAGTTAAACGAAAACGTTCATTCCTGGAAGGTTTTTGTCTCCTGGAGAAAATTTTCTTTATCTAAAAGCTAGGGGCAGACCCTCACACACCTTGAGCTTAATTGTCGCTTAACCATTGATTAACTCATGAAAAAACACCACATCAGTTTCCAAATTTTAAATTGTCCTGCCAGATAGTACTGAATCTGTATTTAACTTTTCTATAAACTTTGAACCCTTGATTGATTTTATTCTTTCAAAAATCAAGCAAATGTTTCACTCAGCTTTTAGTAAATCATCTGAGGGTCTGTTTAATTTCATTTTTTAAGGCTTCTTAACTTAATGTTGTCCTGGAATCTAGCCGTTTTTTCTAATTTGCCTACAAATTCGTTGAGGGATTCGGTTGATGAAAATTGTCCGATTAGTCTCATATTCACGGTCCATCGGAACAAATTTTTACCTGGTGAGGGTTAATCGTTCATTTTCTCGGGTCGTTCAGGTCAAAACGATTATTGGAATATTTTGGAAAATAGGCAGTCAAATACCCACGAACACATATCAGGCCGTTCAATAATTAACAAAGATTAATTAATTTTTGAAACGTTTTATATTAAAAAAAAAAATTATAGAGATTTGTACGTTTTATAAGGTTTAGATTGAAAAAAATTGACAATTTTCAGAGTAAAATGTTTTTTAAAAGTTGGCTTTGCAAATTTATCCCTTTGAATCTTTAGTTTTTTTTACATCTGCAATCTCAGTGGCATCCTAGCCTCTTAGAACTTCCATTTTCTTTAGTCTTACCTAGTACATACTCTCGTCATACTACTCCTCATATTTCTTCTCAACCCAACACCACATACGAACATACGACACTACCATTCTATCCTCCATCAGCTCACCGACCCCTCTAGGCACATCTGTTCCCTTGAACAAAGTTTATAAAAAACAAAAAGCCAAAAAACCTTACATAAAAACTTTAACAAACAATCAAGACCTTACATAAAAAATTAATTGAAATAAATAATTTGGTCAGTTAGGCCACTAAACATAAATGGATTAAAATAAAAAAATCTTCAACCCCGGTCCCATCATTCTACCAATCTGTTACAAACTCACTATTCCCCCTACCGAAAAAGACATCCAATACCTTGGGCTGTATCTAAACAAGCTAAAAAACCTGGAATCACATACACTACTTAAAAGGACAGAACTGAACCGACCGATTAGTTAAAACACAACTGGACAATAGATCTAACTACTCTCCGAACAATAAATTCCTAATATAAAACTCAACGCTGAAACTAATCGATTTATTATTTATTATTGAAAGTCAGGTTGAGTTGAAAAATTAGTGTCACGAGTGGGACTCGAACCCACGACCTCCGGGGTACTGATCAATTCCAAATCCATCCACTCTTTGAATCATTCACTAGTAGAATACTATAAAATAGTACCATAGTGTTGAGAACAATATTACTCGCCCTTTTTCGATCTCGTTGTAATATCCATAATTCCAATTACCTATACATATTTTAATTTAAAGTTTTTTTCGCTTGTTCCGTCTTCCCGAGATAAGGACTTCACAGACACCATTCACTCCCACCATGCTAAATCTACTCCTTGACCTACCACCACAGTACGTAATAAGGAAAATTGAAACAAGCGAGGAGTCTGTTTCCCGTAAGCCCTCCATTCCTATACTTATTAATTTTTAATACAGAAGTTAATTATCCTCTGTCCGTGTAGTTCTGCTTCTACCCTAGTCTCCATCTCTCATTCGTGAGTTTGGTTATGATATTTAGGGTTGACTCTGGAAGGAAAAAGGTATCCCCTATCCCTTTACCCCCTTTTTCATTCCTAATGTTTTTTTCTGACTGATAGATATTTTAGAATTTGGGTTGGATCCGCTTGCTCTCTCGAGCATATTAAAGAAACAGATGCCCTAGGTAAAGACACGCTAATACGTCCTGAACCCTTTTGTGGTTCCATATTTCATGTTAGGAAAGCGAAGAAACGATGGAATTCACTCAGTGAATACAAACAACTCATAAACCTCTTTGCGAGATCTTGAGATTACCTGCATATTTTGCATAGTCACAGAAAAGACCTACACCGCACCTATTCGCAACCTGTCTAACTTCACATCCGCAGGAGATAATACTAACACTAAACCCAGCCCTAATAATTTATTAATGAATTGGGACTTGTAGGTGTGCTGTAGGTACAAAACGGGGAATACAATATCTCTCAAAGTACGCATTATGACAAACTACCCCGAATGTTTTTCATCTACATCTCCTTTGGGTAAGCTCGTTGCAGGGTAGCGTCTTGAGTTCGGTGTTATAAGCAGTTTCTTACTTATATCTCTTATTCTGACGATACGATTCTGACATTTGTTTATGACACTGTTATATTTTTTTTCATCAAATTCCGTAGCACACCAAAACTTTCAGACTCACCTCTACACCTTAGAGCATTGGTTTACAAAATGGCACATTAAACTAAACACCTCCAAATCAAATCGTGTAAACTTTATCCTTAGACTCTCTCTCTCTCTCTCTCTCTCTCTCTCTCTCTCTCTCTCTCTCTTTCTTTCTTTCTTTCTTTCTTTCTTTCTTTCTTTCTTTCTTTCTCTCCCTCTCCCTCTCCCACTCCTGTCTATTGTAATTTTAATCCTCTTACAAACTATGAGGTTTGACTAAACCTTCCAACCTCAATCGAACCTAGACCTGTAACCACGATCTATTGTTGACGCACCAATTTATGTTTTCAACAACACTACATGCAATGACTTCACATTTGATTAATGACGTTGCGAGATTCAGTGATATAAAAAAAATCTCCAATCACATATCTCCGGCCACTTTCAGACATTAATCCTAAAAGTCTCAAAAGGCAATGACCCCGTGACCTGCTCTCTGAGATTGGAAAACTATTTTATCGTTAGAAAGAGTGAATGTAGATTGATTTTAGACTAAATTTTATGTTTTATTTTATGTTTTCGATATGAAAAAGTAAATTGTTTAAACAAAGACAAAAAATGTACTCGTATTTTCTGATACAATGTTTTTTTTTTACATATTCAGGACTTTTTAAAAAAAATAATAATAACATTGTTTAGGCGAACAGGCACGATAGAGATTATGCCTCATCCTCGCAGGGAGAATATTCGGATTTTTGTTATTTTAGACATCATTAGATCCGAGAATTTCGTTCGCAATTATTCCGTAAATGCGACTACACGATATCCGAGAATAAACAAAAGAGTGAAATTTGAGTTTATAAAATGAATCAATTATTTCTCTCAGGCCATTCGCCGGATATAAAGGTTCTTTGTTTTAATGTATATAATAATATTATGTTGCATTAATTTCACTTGAATTTATCTACTATTTAATTTATTATAACAGTTCATAATTGTAAATTAACTATTTAAAAATCAACTTAAATAGAAAGTTTAATCACAAAAATTACTGACCTTATTAATTATCTTTATTTCATTATTTTATGAGCAAGAAATGATAAAAAAAACAAGTTACGGATATAAAAATTTGATTTATTCAAGTTCTAATTGCCATGAAAGTAAGGAAAAAATAAGTGACCCAGTGCCAGTTTAACAAGTATTCATCTCAAGATGGACCGAAAATGGCTGTTGGGTTTTACTGGGGCTTCAGGTCATTTCAGCCCCCAACTAAGTCTATATTCTATTTACCCTTTCAAACACTACAATTCATACAAATAAATACATTCAACACATAAATACATCCATACAATACACTCATTCCGTTTGGTCGGTGGAGTACTTCCTCCACCGACCTATACCCAAATTGATCTAGATTGGGGTCGATGGAGTAGATTTATAAATATTCCGCCATCGATCCCGAACACACACTTATACGCTCTCAACGTTCGAGAGGCGATGATGACGTTATATTTCACCCTCATCCCTCGACATTCACGCTAATAAATACATGCACTCAGACAAAACATATACACACAGCACATAAGACATATTATATACAATAAAAAAACCCTATTTCCCTAAAAAACGGAACAGGGAACCCAGAAACCCGCTGCAGTGCTCGAGTACCATTTTCAGATTGGATGGCATTCCTACACGCTCACTGTAGGTAGCCAAGGCATGACATGTTTCTAGTATGTGAGACACATCGAG